TAACGGTTGCTCGCCAACGGATGTGCCGGTTGAAACAGCTGGTGTAGAACTGCTCGCAGCTTTTTGCGCATCCTCGTTAGTATCGCCCCTCAGTTCCTGACTGCCTCCGTTGCTATGTTCCGCCTTCAATGAATCTTTGGAACCAGGATCTTCGTCGGCAAAGCTGTCGCTGGTGTTGCTGCTGGCGTGATTTTCTGATGGCTCATCGAGAATGTCTTGTGGAAGATTAGACTAAAAGGAAATCGATTATCGTCTTCAACGACGCCATCACTGGACTTACATCCGTGCTTCCTTTCGGGGTCGTGTAAGTTGTGCCTGCTGTGGAAATCGTAGGGGGCTGCGACGCTGACGCGGTGATACCTTGACCTGTCGATAGCATGTTATTATCTGATATTCCACTGGAGGTGAGAACGACGATCTTCTGAGTTCCACTGCTGACCGACTGGCCAGGTTTTGCGGCAAGAATAATCGTTCGCCCGCCGGTCGTTTTAATCGCTTGCAGCGGGGTACCTCCTTGTTTACCGGTGACACCTGCGGCCACCAACTTCACAACGTTTCCTCCCGACGCACCAGCAACCATTCCCTTGCTCTTAAATTTAAATTTAAGCATAAAACTGCTTTTGGAAGCATAATTTTTACCGGTGTCAGAAGAGCTCCTTGTGGGGTGCGAATCAGCGTCAAAACTTGCGGGGTACCGCCCTTCTGAATAGCGAATAGTTTTTGGCCCGAAGAATTTTTGGTTGGTGCTGCCAAGCGAAGAATCTGACCCTGCGGCGTTCGCAACGGAGTTGAACCGACGGCAGAGGCATTCGGTGAATTTACGACCTTCAACAGAGCCGTCTGACCACTTTGCTGCGCCTTCTGAGAGGCTGAAACGGCGGCAGCTGCCAAAGCTGCGATTCCAGACACGGCAGGATTCTAGCAACATGCCGTTATGAACACATGCAAATCTACAACCAAATCATACCTGCGTCGACTGATCTCCCACATCGTTCTCTCCCTTAAAGCCGATTGGAGGGGGATCATATTTCTGAAGCTGCAACAGGTACGCCTCGGCTAAACCAAAAAATGACAGTCACACAGACAACAAAATCAATGCTACCTGTGGATACAGCACTCCAGCATACTTCCAACGAATTAACGCTGGCCCTAACGAGCTGCACTCTACCCGGAGCGGACGGCTTCTCGGTTTCCAAGTACCACATGTCTTTACAGCATACCTACAAAAAGAAAATTATTTCTTGTTAATACCTTTTTTTTCCAAAGAAGCTTGAAAAATTTTAACTTTCTTTTGCCAGTTTATTTACATTACTGAGCAACAAATTCTCAGCATGTATCAGGCTAGTAACTGAATGGACAACATCAAGCAAGTTTTTTAAAATTCATACCAACGTAATAAATGGAAACGTAGACAATATTAGCACGGTTGACAATCAGCAAAAAATCAACGGTAAAATTTAGACTTCAGTTCAACATTTAACATGACAAGTCACTGCTAGATTGTTTAGTTGCCAACTAAAGACTTTGCTAACTCTTATCAACGTATCTACACCAAACGAATAAGGCAGGTTTGCTACTTCACAACTCCATCATTCTTTGAACTGCTTGCATTATAGATCAGTGCCATTAATTAAGTACATTTATGCTAAACTGTAACTTAGCCTTATCACAAACTTTCTCAATCATGTTTATAACAGAATTCTGAGAAACGATTAAATAAATAGCTGGTTAAAAGTATTGTAACCTGATTGTTCCAAGCTTTTCGATATCCGTCCCGACCAGACCACACATAAAGACGAGTGTTGATTGCGACAGCGCTGTGTCCGGCTCGCGCACGTGGGATCGCTTCTTCGAAGGCTTCTAAAGACAGATTTTCCCAAACCATCGCTTCTACAATGTTTAGGATTAAATCTGAACAAGTGATTGCCACCGAATTCAGTACGCAGGTTCAGAGAAGCCAATGTATTTGTACACTTCCATTCTTTCTCGTGTTGGCCCAACTTAGAGTCATCCACAACCAGAGGAACCCATCCGCCAAAAACAAACATACTGAAAAATACAAAATAATGATATATTTTAAGTTCAGTATAACATAAACAAAACGTAAATTAAACTTGAATAACAAGAACATTTAACAATAACAAAAAATAGCTTGAATATCACTATGCAGTTTTTTATGCAAGGTCTTGAAAACCAGTTAAAGTACCTTCAACAATTAAGAAAAGATCGTCTTCGATGAAGATACTATCAGATGAACAACTACAATATTTAACATAAACAATAAAGTAAGCGCACAGTCCCTTTGTCTAAACAGGTCAAGTAGAAGGCATCGAATCGTTGCTTTTTTGAGTAATTTTTAATGGTGCTTGCTTGCCCATCCATGGTTCAAGGCAACAATCAACAAGGATGATTAAATTCTATTATTAACCGACGATTTGGACGCCGCACATTAGCGCTATCATCAGGATAATTATGGAAAACAAAGAATTTACATCTTAATTATTAA